TGGAAATAGAGCTTAACATTATATAAAAATTTAAACTTAAATTTTTATGATATGTAGATTAAAATTATAATATGCTAATTATCAAAATGAATAAATACTAAATCTAGTTTTATTTTTGGTGTATTTTGGCAAATAAAATGATAGCAAAATATAATCTTTTTATTTTACATTTAACATTTTCAGCATGACCATAAAAATGATCATATCTACAAAAAATTTTTAAACATTCATCTTTTCTTTTTAATCCATGATGTTCAAGTCATTTGTTTTTGAAGTACCATGTTCAATTTCCTCTCTACTTCATCTGTTAATCATTCTAACTCTGAAAGACCTCATCGTTTGTGATTTTGTGATTCAGTAGTTTGTTAATGTCAATTGTATCATGAATTCCTGAATCTCTTGAGTATTTTACTTTACAATACATTTCATTATGTTTTCATTGTGTCTTCTGATATTTATAACATATACAATCATCAAGAGGCCAAGTATTTTTTATAGTGATTCAAAGATATAGATGCTAATACTACCTGGGAAAAGGTGCCAAATAAGTGCTAATTTTATACGTGGGTAATTCATAGTGAATGTTTCCTATCAGCCTTTGCTTTCCTCTATTATCATGTATTTTGGGGGACTGAAGAAATGCTTTGATAATCAGGAACTCTTATAATTTCCAATCAGATGAAAATAAGAGTAAAAAACTAAGCAAATGGTATAGATAAAAGTGTAAACTGGTGTCCTCCACAAATGTTTACTGTTGAAATCATTCATGATTGTAGAAGAGATACTCTTGGGCAAGAGGACCAAGGGTTGGGGCATTGAGAGAGTCTTCTAGAATATAGAAGAGTAATCACCTACTTTGGAACAGGAGCAAGAGAAAATGGTACACTGGAAGCTTAGAGCCATGGGAAGTAACGTTAATGACATAGGAGATGATCAAGTATATCTGATACTGCTGAGAGGTCAAGAATTCATGGCTGATAAGTCATCCATGTTAATAACTGAACAATTAACATCAGTAATCAGCTAAATAGCTAGAACAGATATTCTGAGAAGTCTAGGTCACATTTCAACTAGAGATTCTGTGAAAACTGTCACTTCAGAATTTCCTGATACTGGCCTATCCCAATGGAAATAATCTGGAGCCTTGTGAATTCACCACCTTGCTACTGCCACCTATATGTCTGTGTTCTTTCAGTCCTTATCAAGATGACCTTATGCAGGTACTGGGCAAGGATGTAAAGTTTAGTAAACCAGAAAGGATTACTGAGATACCAAACACAGTTTAAATTACAGATGAGTTGTGGATTATGGCATTCTCCAGTATTGTCTAGAGGAGGATGTGGAATCAAATGTACCAAGTGAGCATTGTCCAGAACAAAGATGCTTTAGATGCTCTCTACCAGTAGCCTTCATTGTAAAGCTGAGCTAAGTATGGCATATGCTTATCATTTTTATATCTTTTTGCTAAAATTTTGATGTTTACCTGTATCTTTTCTTAGGCTTTTATAACTATTGTTTAATGTGCCTTTTTTCAAGTTGCCAAATGGTAATAATAAAAAAAAACCAAAAAACTACATTTCTGAGTTCTAAAATTTGCCCTAGCCACACACTGAAGTCAGCGAGCCTCTTTGGCTGGTGCAAATTACTTATTACAATAAAGGACATGGCTGAAGCTCTTAATAAAGTTTTAAAAATGTCATCCATTTAAAGTCTTCAGTGAAACACCTCTAGATGTCATGCAAATGTGTTGGCATGATTTGAAATTCTAGCATGGCCATCAAAATGATCATTAGTCATCATTCTTGGTCACTCAGAATGTGGGATTCTTATGGGATTAAAAAATCCCAGGGGAAAAGAGCAGCTCAGCAGATTGAATGTGTAGGAGCATTGGGAAGTGTGTTGCAGCATCATGGAAAGTGAGGAAGAGCAGCTTAGTAGTATGTGTGATGTCACTGGACAGGGGAAAAAGTAAAATGGTAGAATGAATGTTAACACATCATACGATCCACTCCTGCATTCATGCTAGAGTGTCTCTGAACACTGTGGGGAGGGGATGGTGGGATCTTGAATTGCAGTCTATGGGTACCTACAGAAGAGGGTCCATGGGCTTGACTTATTTTTGAAGTCACTAAAATCAAAAGGTTAAGTAGTGATCCAAAGTGCACCAGAAAAACAACATTTATACAGTTAAAAATAAAAATGGAAAGGTATTTAAGTACTTATTTTAGTGATATATACCTGACTGTCAAATTATTACAATTGAAAGTATTTCCCTTCATATCTCAGAGCAATAATTACTAACTTTATAGACAATTACAGTCAGCCCTCAAGGAAAAATGTACAACATAGTATTTACTCAAGATCAGTTCTAATTTAATATAATTTGTAGCTACATTAGATACTTAGCATATGACTTTTGAATGAGATAAAGTGGTGATAAACTAGGAAAAGGTCAAATTCTAGTTGAGAATAGCAGCTTGAGTCATGATGCTTAATGCAGTGGATTGACTCTGACCTTTACTCATTCCCTTTATTGGCAAATGTTCTTGGAAAAAGTCTTAGGGCATCAGTATTGAACAATGGCCAAATATCTAATTTAAACAAACAAACAAAAAAGGAAGTGAAATATCTTGGTAGAAATGTAATTTACCAGTTGCTAATGGAAACATCATATCAAAGATATATCAAAATTATATACCAAATATTACACTTTTAGAGTGCATTTTTTAAAAAAATTTATTTAGTTATTTTTCAAGTACAGTTTTTTGTCTATTTCTCCCATCCCAGCCCCCCATTTTCATATCCTGGGCCCCTCTCTATACCAGGTGGGCCCAATGCCCTTCTTTCCCCATTCTGATGAACACAGGTGTGGGCTGTTTAACCTTGCACCTAGAATCCCTCTCACTTTACTGCCTGCTTTCATCTTGCTCTACCTCTTTATCAGAGGCTTTGATGACAAAATTTTTGCATTATAAATATGTAGCCAAATGATATGGAAGAATAAATTATTTAAATGTATATACTTTAAAAATACTTGATAAGGAATGAAAGATTCCAATAGGAAATGTTATTTGGATATTATTTATCTGAAATAATGTAGTTAGCCACTAGATGTCACCTGTTTTAAGCAACAAAATTTGTAACATCAATATCAGTTACTTTGCCTAGAGGGTATTAGTTGGGGTCATTGAAATTAGCCATACTAATCATCACATAAAAAAAGCTTTAACAAACTAACAAACAACAACAACCTAACAACAACCACGTTTTCCTGGAAGGAAGATTTTGTGAGTCAGGCCTGATTTGAGTCTTGTCAGTCTCCAAGGCGAGATAGGTAAAATTCAATAATAGGTAATAAAGTATAATTTAAAAAACAGTCAGAAGCATGGCTCTTACACAAATAAAAAAATGAACATGCATAAAGATCTTGTTCAACTCATTAATTAGTAAGATAAACCAGTAAGATGAAACGCCAGTATAAGAGAGAATCAAGAATGGAAACTTACATAGTCAGTCTGTCAAAGGCCTGTGGAAATGAACTTGGTGATAGGTAGGAAGTTGTATAATGTCCTAATGGTCAGAAAACATAGTGTTTGGGTTGTATTCTCTCCTTGAGAGAAATGAGCTCTACTAGGCAAAAGTCTGTAGTCAAAAATGCCACTTCGCAGAGAGGCAACAAAGTTCTCAGCTTACATTTGTGGATCACATATAATACTTGTGGGTTGTGCTTAGTGCTTTACGTGTATCACACCATTTTAGTCTCACACAACTGACAATGAGGTAGATGCTGATACTCTCTGTACTTAGAGGCTAGAACGGAACATGTAGAAACCAAGAAACATTCTTCAAATCGTGGACCAGCAAGCAGTCAAGCTGTCCTGTGAATCTGGTCTGCCTAGATGGTCTTTCTCCTACATGCATGGCAGTCTTATAACAAATGCTTTATATTATTTTCAGAGAATTTGGGACACAGGGAAAAATCTAATGTACTGACAATCAGTAGAGAAAAGCATCTGCCCGACAAAATATCTGTCTAGAGTCAATGATCTATTTAATGTTAAAACTCAGAATCTTTAAGGAAATTGTAGAATGAGTAAATGAACCATAAAAATTTATCTTAGATTTTTGGGGCTTATGTATGCAGAATCCCAGAAATATGAGGTACCCCAAGCCTTATTACTAATTCGGCTTCAATTCTTGTAAAGATTTTACCACTCAGACAGGGGCTGAGAAGATTCAGAAAATTAATTGAACTTTATTATATTACCAAGTAAGAGTTTAGTCAGTCTCCTTATCACACATACTTGGGTACAACTATGAAAGGTTTTTTTCCCCCAGAATATGATTTTCCCCTCATACCAGATAACAGGAAAAAATACACTGTGAGTTCCCCAGTCACATAAAAATGTGTAAATATGTTGGCGTATCACATTTGCATTTACACTTGCTCTAAAAAAATGCAGTTATATAACATAAAAGATGTATTGGTTTTTATGTAGCTAATCAGTTGTTTAGTGTTCAACTTTTTCAGTTTTCATAGATTATAAAATCTTTTAGGGCATAAGATATTCCTTACAAGACCATCATATTATGTTTCTAGCTTCGGCAGTAGATGTGACTTAAATAACAACACACTACATTTAAAACTCTATTAGAAACATCTCTGGTTGCCTTTGATTTATTCATCAATGTGACAAATCAGAACTTTTTTGAAGTCTAATTTTTGAAAAAAAAAAGAAATCTCTTTGCATTAAACCATCTGCTCTATGTGATTCCAATAACTCATTTTTGGCATTGGAGTCTCCCTTTTGTGATTTATTTTACTCAACCAGTTGCATTTCTTTCTGATAAAGCACATCATTGTTAATACAATAGTAAAATAATTACAATCAATGCATATTCATAATGGATGGCATCTTAAAGAAGTCACATAAATTTAGCATTTTATTAATGCAAATTAATTTATTCATCACCGAAGGAGAATTTAAAATGGTACTCACGCTGGTTTAACTGTATGGGTGTGTTTTTCATGGACAAAGGCGCCGGCAATTCCTCCTGCTCCTGAATTTAAATACTGGATTGAAAATAAATGAAATCATATGGGTTCATCTGAATATATGTCAAAGATAAACAATGTAACCAGACTTTTTTGTTGTTATGAAACCAACTTTTAACCAGTTCAAAATGTGTGATTATTTAAGCATTCATAATGAAACGTAATTTTGGGTCACGTTATCCAAAGAAAAGCAAATGAAACATAGAATTATTAATTGATAATAAATAGCTATTATTTTGGCCAAATTTTGCCCTGACAAGTAGATAATAGTTCCAATGAAATCAATCTAATTTCAAAATAAATTAATTTCAATTATTTTGTCACCAAAATATTTAAATAATAAAACTATCATATTTTAAAATTTTCTAAATGAAAATAAATTGAGTTTATTCCTATGCTTCCTGTTAAATTGTCTTCAAATGTTACTATCAACTCAATTCCATAAAAATTTACCTTATACATGTAGAAATTTTACAACATACCAAGAAAAAAAACCCTAACTAAAAAACTTAATTAACTTAAAATAACTTTTAAGTGCTGAGTTGTTTTTTCTTTTTCATAACCTTCTGACTTTTTATAGCAGCCAGAGAACTGAGGGAATAAATACTGAACAGTGGATGGAAACACCAAATTTAATTATCATACTATTCTATTGTATGACTATAATTAACTAAAATCAGGAAGTACACTACTAAAAGAAATTGGCAAAAGTAATTCCAATAGTTAAAATTGGTCACCTCTACATTTTTTAATTTAGGTTAATGTTAATGTGGAAGAGAAGGATATAAATATATTAACAACTTTGTACCTTATAGGAACACCAGCAGGCAAAATCGACTCCCCAGTCATGTAAGCGGAGTTCAACATTTCCAACTGCGTGTGCTAGATCAAAGCCAACAAAACAACCCTGGGGGAAAACATAATAACACGCTTTAAATTTGTTTAGTGATTAGAAATAATAAGTACAAATATCTTTAAGAGAATCTTCAACAAACTGCTGTAATAGTCAATGTAAATCTGGGTTACCCTTTGGTTCTCTGGTTCACTATGTGAGAACCATAAAACTCTGGGCATTCACAAAGTTCTTGTAGGTCAAAACAATTTTCATAATACCAAGACATTCTTTCCCTCTTGCACTGTGCTGATATTTGCAGTGGTTAAGCAAAAGCAGTGATGGGCAAAACTGCTCATCCACTGGTGGCTTAGCACGAATCCAGCCAGTGGCACCAAACTCTGCGAGTGGTCACTACATCCTAAAGCCATTCAACTGCAGGGGAGAAAGATGATTTTACTTAAAAGGCTCTTTCATAAATCTGCAAAAATGATAAATTTTTAGATCCATCATTTGAATCATTTTCATTCAAAAGACGAAAACACAAAACCTAACTTTTCATATTTTTAAGGTTTAATAAAGTGGGAAGTATGCATTAAGTATTTGACCACATTTTGAAGATGGTTGTCTCAAAGTAATGCACTTAATGTTATAATTTAAGTTGCATCTCAACAAGCTACTTTTACTTGATGAATAACCTTTTTTTTTCATGTAACGGAAACTGATCAGTAATAGTATGAATCATATCAGTCTGTCAGTTCGAGAAAAACAATTCATAGTATTTGTTTCCAATGAAAAAAAGTTCCCAAGAGATGTTAGAACTTTGGGAAACTTGTATTCACTTCTGTGGATATTACCTTTTCCCAGTATTTAAAAATGTTTCTGATTACCTTAGTAGTGATATATAATTAAAAAATAATACATAATGAAATATGTAAACATTTGGAAAATCTTCATAGCTCAGAAAACCAAGTGACCAATGCTTAATGTAATGCATCATGGATTACAGCTCTATTCAAAATGCAAAATCAACCAATAAATTTTCCTGGAGCAAAGGAGAGAAAGTTTAGTCATTTTGTTTCACATTCCACACTACTACTCCAAGAAGTCCTCGCTTGTCAAATTCTGGTGCATTATCAAAAAACATCTTCGATTAAACTACTTCTGCTTTTTCTGACTCTGTATCTGCATGAGGAACAATTTTCTTCATAATCTTCACAGGATAAAAAAAGCAAGAGATTGAATGCATCAGTAGATATAAAAATAGCTATCTTTTATGAAATCAAACAATAAAGTAATTTGTCAAATATAAAACATTTTTACTTGTTTCAGAAAAGTTTGTTTTTCTAACAATATATAATTTATGTTAAAATGTAATAGGCTTTTAATTTGCTATTCTAAAATAAATAAAAAATTATAAAAATTTAAAACTTATTAAATTGTAATTTCATTGAATATAAATAAATATAAATATAACATGAAAACCTTTTTGAGTCCTCTGTGATTTTTAAGTTTAGAAAAGCTTTGTGTTACTGAAACATTCAAGAACAGTTGCTGTAGTGTATCCTACTGAACTGAAGGAATTAATGGAAGTTTTTAGTTTATCACTTAATCTCACATCAAGCCACATTTAATTTGATTAACTCAAGTGTATACATGCTGTGACAAATTTCCTTAACAGTTGGGATTCTTTGTCCCTTCTTATATTCATGTTCTTTGCCAGATAACCCTGTGGACAGGGTTCAATTCTGTGCCACTGGGATGAGCCAGATAAGTTGTTTTGGTCCAAGGAATGTTAGCACATGTATTACAAGCAGAATCTCAAAAGCACTTGAGTGTATAGGAATGCTCTCTCCTGCCCTTTGCCATCTCTGTGAGAAGAGATAGCATGAGCCAACCTGCTGCCCAGATGGAAGATGAAAGAAATGTATTTAGATCAGAATCATTCTTAGTGAGCTCAGCCTGGATCTGCTTGCTCCCCACCCTCCTCCAGTGAGCTAGAGATACCTGCATGAGCTCAGCTGAGACTAGCAGGATTCCTGAGACCAAGTCCTGCCTCAATCAGCTGATATAAAGATAACTGTGGGGCACTGAGAATGAGTCACACCAAGATGTGCCTCAGCGGTGCCCTGGCTCATGTGGGTCAGTGAAATGAGCACCAGCCTGTAAAACAAAAAGTGGCCAGGGGGGGAAAATAAAAAAAGGAAGGATTGAGGATAAGAAGGACAAGACAGGGGGGGGGGGGGGGGGGGGGGGGGGGGGAGGGGGGGGGGGAAAAAAAAAAAATTTGAAAAAAAAAAATTAATTTAAAAAAAAAGTGGCCAGTTCCATTCCCAGTCAGGGTTCCTGCCTGGGTTGTAGGCCTGACCCTGAGTTGGGGACATGCACAGAAACAACCGATCAATGTTCCCCTCCCTCTCTTCCTTCCTCCCTTCCCCTCTCTCTGAAAATAAGTAAATAAAATTATTTTAAAAAACACTTTAAAGTACTTAGACTTGGATGTAAAATAAATAAATAAATACAAAGATGTGCTTCAATGGTATGCAGATTACTTAGAGCTAATATCAACTTTAGCAGCAGACTCAAGAGAAATTTCTGCACCTCCCTTTAACTACCTAAAAAAAGTGAATTTGGGGTTTTGCCTGTAATAAGACATCATCAGATATAACTTGTATTTAATAAGCATCTTCTATTATGATCTCCCACTGACTCTTTGAAGCCTCCCAGGCACATCACTGCATCCCTAGCTCTGCGTGTCCTACATGCCCACATCCCCTTGTTATCTCTGAGCCATTTCTGCTTGTGGGGCCTCTGACTCTCACATACGCAGGATTCCCATACAGACATATGCATTAAACTTAGTTATTTTCTCTTGCTAATTTGTCTTATGTCTGTTTGATTATTATTCAGACAGAAAACCTTGATGATAGAGAAAAGTTTGTTTCTCCCCCACACAACTCTTAAAAATATTTCTGACTCTATACTGTGTTCTCTACATACATTGACTTGAATCTTTTTTTTAAGATTTTATTTATTTATCTTTAGAAGGAAAGGGAAGGAAAGAGGAAGAGAAATATCAGTGTATGGTTGCCTCTCATGTGCCCCCTGCTGGGAAATGGCCTGCAACCCAGGAATGTTCCCTGACTGGAAATTGAACTGTGATCCTTTGGTTCGAAGGCACGTGCTCAATCCACTGAGATACACCAGCCAGAGCAACTTGAATCTTTAACAGCTTCATATCATCTGACTTTATTCTCTCATTGCTTACTTATATGGCTTCAAGTGTTTTGTATGTCTGCCTAGTAGAATTCAGTGTTTTAGAAACAAATTCTTCCAGAAGGACAATCCGGATTAGTGAATTTGTATTATCCAGACTGTACCCAAGTAGCAATTTTCTAAATTAATAGCCAACCATCAAAACCATTTAGCTTTCTGCATATCAAAATATTAAGTTTTGCTTAGAGAATATAGTGATTCACTTCACAGTAAGACAACTTTGTGCATTGACTGGTATTGCTCAGTTGGTTGGGTATTGTTCTGCAAAGCAAAAGGTCACTGGTTTGATTCGTGGTCAGGGCACATGCCTGGGTTGTGCATTTGATCCCTGGTCTGGGTGGTGTGAGAGGAAACTGATCAATGTTTCTCTTTCACATTGATATTTCCCCTCCCTCTCTTTTTTCCTCCCTTCCCCTTTCTAAATAAATAAATAAATAAATAAATAAATAAATAAATAAAATCTTTTAAAAGAGACAACTTTTTACATGAGCATGAAACAAAACAAAAACCAACTGGTCATTAAATAAGGGTGATAATTCACCTTGCAAAAATGTTTTACCTCTGAGATCTGTATTGTTAGTTTGCTAATAGCATGTATGTAACATTCTCAAAACTTTAGATTTTCTGCAACTTTGAAGAAACATCTACCAATTGATATTTTGAGGGAAATAATTATAGAAGGACCAATTTTAGATTGCTCTAACATCACTTAAGAATAACCCCAAACCAGGTGCGCCTCACTCAGCACTGACAGCCTCACACTGCCATCTGCAATTCCAGCAGCAGGCAGGGTACAGTTCCCCGTTGGTGAGCACCACAGCCTGGCAAGATAGTGATGGGGCCCACGACCACTGGGGAAGACGGCTGAGAACAAGGGGACTACATGCAGCTTAGGGCATGAGTCTGTTTGCATTGGGTGGCCCACAAGACAGTTGGGGATATTAGAATGTGAGAAGACTAACCCGTGTGATTGAGCATTGGAGATTTCTGGACCCACAGTCACAGAGTTTTTGATGGAGTCTGTTTGTAGAAAAGCCAGCAGAGAGATATTTTTGACAGTCCTTTTAGATAAAATTTGACCATGCTGGTTCCAAGTTGGCAATGGAGTAGGACAGGGCCGGTTCCATCTCATTGTACACATGGGAGAAAATCTTGGCTCATCTACTGAGGAACAGCACAAACAGCCAACAGTTCCCCAGCATATATGAAAATAAGGGACCAGAAATCGCGACGGTCATGGAAGATCCAAATGATCATAAAAAATAAAAAAAGAGTAGGTGAAAGCGGAGAATACCAGGATACCCAAAGGACACTGTACCACTGAATTTCACAGGTATTCCACCACAGAAGTTCACACCATAAACCCAAGGAGTAAGAACAAATCAATTTAGGAAGCTGAGGCTAACAAGAAGAGTCTCACAAACAATGGGAAGACAAAGAAACAATCCCCAAACACAAAAAAGGAGGAAGTCTCAGAAAGAATGCTAGATAAGATAGAGGCAAGTCAACTATCAGATATTGAATTCAAAGCACTAATTATCAGGAAGTTCAATAATGACCTACCAGAAACTACAGGGGAGCCAAAACGAATTAACTGCAAACTATATGAACATGAAAAAGGAAACAGAAACTATCAGGGAGGAAAAAGAGGAAAGGAAGAATACAATTTCTGAACTGAAGAACACAGTAAAGAATCAAAACCAGAATGGAGGAAGCAGAAGATTGGATCAGTGAGTTGGAGGACAAAGTAGAAAAAAAACTCCCAGAAAGAGCAAGAAAAGAAAGACAGGCTCAGAAAG